TCAATGGAACAATACCATCTTCTTTGGCTTCTCTCAAAGGTCTTCGATATTTAGACCTTTCAAGTAATCATTTGTATGGACCAATTCCTGAGGTTATGCAGAATATCTCCAGCTTAGAATACTTGAATGTTTCTTTTAACATGTTGGAAGGTGAGGTGCCAACAGACGGTGTCTTTGGAAATGCAACCCAAATAGCATTGATTGGAAACAATAAACTTTGTGGAGGTATTTCAAAACTGCATCTACCACCATGCCCCATCAAGAGTAAGAAGCACACAAAACACCATAATTTCAGGTTGGTAACAGTGATAGTTAGTGTGGTTTCTTTTCTTATGCTGTCATTTATTATAACTATCTACTTCATGAAGAAAAGAAACAAAAAACAACCATTTGATTCACCAACAATTGACCACCTGGCTAAGGTTTCGTACCAAGAATTATATCAAGGAACCGATGGATTCTCGACTAGAAACTTGATCGGATCAGGAAGTTTTGGTTCTGTGTACAAAGGAAATCTTGTGTCAGAAGATAATGTTGTTGCCGTAAAGGTCTTGAACCTCCAAAAGAAAGGAGCACCCAAGAGTTTCATCATTGAATGTAATGTACTCAAAAACATTAGACACCGGAACTTAGTTAAGATTTTAACCTGCTGTTCTGGTACAGATTACAAGAATCAAGAATTTAAAGCTCTAGTTTTTGAGTACATGAAAAATGGAAGCTTAGAACAGTGGTTGCATCCTGAGATTTTGAATGCAGAGCATCCGATAACATTGGACCTTGGTCAAAGATTAAACATCATTATCGATGTTGCTTCTGCATTACATTATCTTCATCAAGAATGTGAGCAATCAGTCATTCATTGTGATTTAAAGCCAAGCAATGTCCTTCTTGATGATGACATGGTTGCTCATGTGGGTGATTTTGGCATAGCAAGACTTGTCTTAACCATTGATGGTAAATCTCATTCAAATACTAGCACAATTGGAATAAAAGGAACCGTTGGCTATGCTCCTCCAGGTATGTTTTAAATCCTTAATTCTTCCATTGTTTCTTTAAATTCTCCTATGCTTTTGTGTAGACGAAATATTTGACCAGTGACATGGTATTAACATATTTTGCTTCATGTTATAGAGTATGGTATGGGTTCAGAAGCGTCTACATGTGGTGACATGTTTAGCTTTGGAATTCTTATGCTGGAAATGCTTACGGGTAAAAGACCGACTAGTGAAGTTTTGGAAGATGGTCAAAATCTGCATGAATTTGTTGCAATTTCATTTCCTGATAACCTTATAAAGATTTTGGATATAAATCTTGTGCCAAGAGATGCAGAAGCAGAGATACAAGATCGAAATCATGACAATCTCCTTCGAACTTTAGATGGGTGCATAGTTTCACTCTTTAGGATTGGACTTATTTGCTCAATGGAATCACCAAATGAAAGAATGAGTATTGTGGAAGTCACTAGAGATCTTAGCTTAATCAAAAAGGCCTTTTTGACTGGTGAGATAATTGAGATTTTTTATGCTCAAGTTGAATCATAAATAACTCATTAATTGTTTATATCATCTTATACTAAAATGTAAAGGTAATAACATGTTTATTTTTAATTTGAATTTCAGGTGTTAGGCACTCATAATGTGATATTCAAGCTAAACTAAATTTGTAAGGTCATTTGTGAAAAGAAAAGTGTATTCAGCTTGATGCAGTGTTGTTAAAAAACTGAAGTGTCTCGCTGTTAACACATGTGGCAGTGTTTATTTTACTAATATGCTATTTAGTGAATTTGGTTAGCAATTTTTATTATGAATAATTGTGCTCAATGTACATTTGCTTGCAACCTATACATTTGTAAGCAATGTTGTATTGCTTTTCAATTCAATAAAGTGAGAGCTGAAACTTCTCTTGTATTTATCTTCCTTCGTGCCATTGTAAGTGTGAACACTGCATATTCCAAGTTTTTGTTTTGATCAATGAGTAAGTAGTTTGGTAGTTCTGCATATAGCAATATTGAAAACAACGAGCATATTCAAGATGGTCTGGATCTCTATTTATTATTGAGGTTTTAAGTCCTAATCTTCGGATTAGGGCCTTCCGTAATATTTGTTTTCTGAATTATCTTGCAGTTAGATTTGCATAATCCTTGTGGTAAGTATTGTACAAAAGTTGAAGATGGGCAACGCGATAATGATGGATGGACAAATCGGGAGATACATATAACATTCAAAATGCGCTACAGGCTTATGGATATTTTCGAATTTAGCAACTCCACTTGATGCAAATTTATGCTTACTTGAGGAAACAGATGATGGAGATATTAGTGCCATAAAAGACGAAGATAGGGATCGGGTATCGCAGTGGTTCCATGAAATCCACCTGTGATCTAAGGAGCGCAAAAATTCTGGAGAAGAGCAACAATACGAGAAAAGTAACGGTTTTTGAGGGGGGAGGTGACGAGGCTTAATAACGCTGGTGAGGCAAGAGACAAGTTAAAGGTGACGAGGCTTGATAACACTGATGAGACTGGAGACGGTATTTTTACCCAATACCTCATTTTGAAACCAATAATACTAATATATCCTATGTTAAAAAAAAAAAATAACACAAATGCCCTACATACAGATGAAAGAATGGTTGTTAAAAAAAAAAAATAACACAAATGCCCTACATACAGATGAAAGAATGGTTGCTTCGTAGGTGCTCGCCCAATGAGATGGCGAGCACGTGAAGGATGTTTTGTTGTTTTGTTTTTTATTTATTTATTTTATTTTTAGTTATATTTAATTATATATTTAAATATATTATTATATTAATTATATATTTAATTATATCATTTTTAGTTATAATTTTAATTATATTTAATTATATATTATGTTATATTAAATTAATTTAATTATATTATGTTATATTAAATAAAAAATAATGTGAATGATATAATAATTTAATTTTTCTTTCTGTTATGTATTAAAAAAGAATGACTGATGTTCGTCCATGGAGGTGTAAAGTTTTTACAGAGTCTCGGTTATTGAATGACCGAGTTCAAACGTAACTTTTTTTTATAAATAGACGTATTGCGCATCACCACATATCATACGTGTCTAGTGACCCGTGTTTTAAAAATGTTTATTCGAGCTCTTGTTTTTTATGGACAAGAAAAAAAATCAGTGTTTAACTAGATCCGCAGTGGAATTTCAGAACCGTGGTCGCAGCAATTAACACGGGGTTTCGGCAGTTGGGCGGTCGTCGCATGACGGTGAGAAAAATGGAGTATCGTTGTCCGTATATAACGCTGACTGATGCTAACCCGGAGGGTACGTACATGTATTACTGGGATCGTATAGAAAATGATGAAGATGTCCATTGCATGTTTTCAGCACATGGTGGCGAAGTTAACAAAGGAGTCACAGATCCACTTGTGTTGGTTGCTGTTGTTGGTTAGCGTGTATGTTAGCTTCCTGAGTTTTCTTTTTAACTTTATGGTTATAATTTGTTAGTATTGCTGTAATTTAAAAGTTGTCTTGAATTAAAAATAAATGTTGGATCACATACAAAACTAGTGCGAGCAAAATATATAAAATTATCTAGGCCGTCGGTTTGACGGAACGACAACATTATGACATTTTCTACGCATATGACCTATTTCTGTGCAAATCTCACACCTTCTCTTTTCTTTTTCAGCGTTGTCCATCTCAGTTCTAATTCTACTACTAGTTGGACGTCCCTTTTTATTTCTTCTCATGGAATCGTCGTGGCATAGAGTAAAACCTTCATATTTTGGCCAGTTCTCCTCGTGCGGTAGTCCCAAGAAGCTTTCTTTGTAGACTTTGAATACGTTAAGTATTGTGAAGACCTCTGGAATGTGAATTGTGTAGTCTTGTCGTATGCTAGAACATGATGCAGTCATGTGGGAGCAAGGTAAGTGAAATGCTTGAAATTTTCCACAGCCACACAAACGATTCCTCAGGTCAACGCTAAAAGTACCCGTTGGACGACCATCGTTTTGATTAATTTTTTCCTGCACCATGAAACAGAATATTTCGCGATCAAATTGCATGACATTGTGTGTGTTAGCCTTAGCTACCTCATCAGTCATTCCTTTGTTATAACCATCTGTGAAAACTTTCCATGTAGCTAGCATTTTGGTTCATTTATGTCCTCGTTTACCAAAGAGTGAATCCATTCGATAGTATGTAGACTGGACCAAAGCAGTGATTGGAAGGTTTCTGGTTGCCTTTAGTACATAGTTTATGGCCTCTGCCAAGTTAGATGTCATATGTCCCCAACGTTACCCTCCGTCAAATGCTCTAGCCCACTTCTCCCTAGGTATGTTGTTTATCCAATTTGAAGCCTCAATGTTTGTTCTTCTAATTTCTCCACGATAGTAGTTAAATGTAGCCTCCGTCAATGCATAACCTGTAACAGAAATTGTTTGAAAAACATAATAAAAGTGTGATACAAAACTTGAGATAAGTGAAATGTATTTTGTTACCCATGTTAACAAGTTTTTTGCGTAGATCCTTGTCATTAATCTCGCGCATGAAGTTCTGAGCAATGTGTCTAATGTAGTAGACATGTGACGATGGTGGATGTTGCCATCCATTTTTGGGATTGTTATATGCAATCTTTATCGATTCATGTCTATCAGAGATTAGGCACAAATTAGGTTGTGGTGTCACGTGTAATTTCAGGTTCCTTAGAAAAAAGCTCCATGCTTCCTTTGTTTCACCTTCGACCAATGCGAATGCTATTGGGAAAATATTTGCGTTACCATCTTGTGCCACCGCCATCAATAAAGTTCCTCTGTACTTGCCATACAACCAAATTCCGTCTACTTGCACAATGGGCTTACAGTAGGCGAAGCCACGTATACACGGACGAAATGCCCAAAACAGACGATGGAATATTCGTTTTCCAGAGATTTGGGAACCATCATTTGAAATTGTAGGTAGGGTTTGCAAATCTATAATGGTTTCTGGAATGTAGGTTTTCATTACCAGTATCCACTATGGCAGGTCGTTGTAAGATGTTTCCCAATTGCCATAGAGATACTCTATGGCCTTACACTTAGCGATCCATGCTTTCTTGTAAGATATCATGTATCTGTATTTTTCAAGAATATGGGCAATGATCACCTTCACCTTAAGTGAGGCGTCTCGGTTGACAAGTTCTATGATGGTATGGCTAATCATTTCTGAACTGAGCTTCATATGGTCTTGTGCCATAGACGTGGTAGTGCATGTGTGAGGTCCAGACAGCTTACCGATCACCCATTTTGAGTTCCTTTTTCTCAAGGAAGCTCTGCACTTGAAATTGCAGTCTTGTTTCTTACACTTAATTACATATCGTTCATTGTCAGATTGATAAACTCAATAGTCAACACTGTGTGTTATGTGCCAATGTTGCAGAGCGAAGACGCAAGCTTCCTTGTTTTCAAACTCCACTCAAATCTCTATTTCTTCACCTATATGTTTTGGTATGACACTTCCAAACACAGAGGTTGTCTCGTCATGTTCGAAACATATATTTTGCATATGTGCAGGTGGGTTGTACAAACTTATTGGTTGTGCGCGAATCGATTGCATAGACGTGACCACTATATCTTCATTATCTTTGTCATCATTGTCACCAAAAATATCTTGCATCCTGACCTCCTGAAGATCGTCATCGCTTGCTTCTCCAACCTCTTCATTTGGTATGAAAGGTTGGTTATTTTGCGTTGGTTCGTCGTCGGATGTTTGGCTCATTCCATACCGGTGTGACTGTGTCTCTTGCATCGGAAATGTTTCAGTATTGTCTAGTAGTCAGACATACAACCCAATTGTAGGTAACTGGCCAAACATCATGTGGCACTGAAACATTGCCTCCACGTCTTCGTCGTTCCTGATCGGCGTCATTACGTAAAAAATTGTACATTCGTCTTTGTTAAGTATAGGATGACGATAAATTATCTCCTCAACGCATCGTGCTAATTTTTTTTCCATTCTACCTTTGAAATGGAAAAAATCAGAACTGACATGAATTTTGAAGGCGTAAGTATCTGCGTTGCTGAATGAGAATCCAACGGTAGTATTTGTTGAAACAACACCATTAAAGTGGCACGTAATTGTTATATTTCTCTAAGCCATATTTGAAGTGTAAAATATATGTTTTTCTTAATGAAATTTGGAGTTATGATATAAATAATAGGATACACACAATTATATAACACATACATAAAATGAAGTGAAGAAAAAACTCCCTTTGAGCTTGCCCACTCAAAGGGCGAGCATGGTCACGTGTAGCACTTGCTCGTCCATTGAGAAAGCACACTCTTATGCACGAGCCAATTCATCTACTTAATGGGCGAGTGAGTGATGCATGCTGAAAAAAGTGTCTTGCATGCATGAGACATTGTGTAAGACCTAGTCTTGCTAGCTTTGCATGCATGCCATTGTGTAAGACCTAAAATATATTTCCAAGGCCATGCAAACACATATTATTGTCACTTTATATAGTCACATTTACAATTGTTTGGTTCAATATTGTTGTAGACTATGCAAGGTTTAAAGTGCATTCTCATGCTCCCATTCAAGCAAGTGCGAGAATAATGGAGTATCTAGAAATAGCAGGTTTTGCTCATATAGCAAAAACAAATAGTCTCAAAATCAACTCAAGCTTAGTTGTGGCTCTGTTAGAGAAATGGAGACCAGAAACACACACTTTTCACTTCCCAACAAGTGAATGCATGATAACGCTAGAAGATGCGAATATGTTACTTGGTCTCTGAGTTGATGGAAAAGCTATCAACGGTCCTACCGAAGTGACAAATGATGTTTACATGGAAAGCTTGGGGGTGGAACCTACAGAAGTGGGTAAAAACAGAGGTTCTGTTAGGATCACCTGGCTAGAAAATTTATATGAAAATTTTAAAAATAACTCTGCCCCCACACAACAAGAAATTGTGTTACAAGCTAAAGTTTATATTTTACTTGTAATCGCCACTATTTTGTTTTCCGACAAGAGTCAAAATCTATTGCATTCTTCCTGGATTTCTTTCGTAGGAGATCTTGAAAAATGCGGCACCTATAGTTGGGGTTCTGCATGTTTTGCAAAACTGTACAGGGAAATGTGCAAGGCAGCAGTCAAGGATGTTAAGAGCATGAGTGGTTGTGTTCTTCTACTCACTTCCTAGGCATTCACGCGTATACCATTGTTTTCTCCTGTTAGTACAGTGAAACCCTCGTATCCATACGCACAAAGGTATTTCTATATTAAAACACACATTTATGTGTATGTAATATATATATATATATATATATATATATATATATATATATATATATATATATATATATATATATATATATATATATATATATATATGTTATTCAATTATGCCTAACAATATTATTATTTTTTGTTTATGCAAGATGGGTGCAAAGACGGATGAATTACGATGCTAATCCTCATTTTCATCTACAAGGATATCGAAACGCATTGGACCATATGCAAGAAAAATATGTAAGTTTGAAACCATAGAACATAGTCGTCGGTTATACTCCTTAATGGTTTTCTTTTTTATGTGGCAGTTTATATGGAGGTCATACATTCAATATCTGGTACCCAATCTTAGAGATAGCTAAATCTGGAGTGCTACAACTTTTCTTATTTGTTTCTATACCGTTGAAATGCATCAAATGGATAGGGTAAAACTCCAATTTGGATTTGAACAACAAATCCCTTCCCCGCCAAGGTGTCTAAGGGAACACCACGCAATGACAATGAGAAAAGCCCAAAAAGTTCATTGGCGAGAGTTAAACAAGGAAGAGGTGAGAGAATGGAAACATAGAAGACATCTGATTTTGTAGGGGGGGTACTGTAGTTGGTGAGCGCAAGCCAAGTCAAGAGTATTTGACTTGGTTTCGTGTCATTCCTTATGTGCATATTGCTCCAGACCAATTTTTGGCCGACCCACGCATGCAAGGATCATCATCAACACAACCAACTGCCGGATTAATGCATCAGAATGTGCCACCAAACTACACATCTCAATTTGTGGGGCACGCATCTTCATCAACTCAGCATACATACCGACAAAAAACTCCCTACAATCCACTACCTCAACAAAACTATAACTACAACTACAACTACAACCAACAATATCAACCCCAACCCTACCTTAGACCACTCATACAGTTCACTCCAGTCCCACCGCCCAACTTTGATCAGACAAACCCTCAATTCTAATATCAAACCTTTAACACTTCATTCTCTCAACCCACCTCCACCTTCACGCCTAATGACGTCTACTACCCAACCCTCCAACAAACCCAACCCGAAACCTACCCACAACCACCGCAACCATCACAATCATTCCAAATTTTTTTGCTGACAGAGGATCAACCAATGCAAATGCCATATTTTAACATTGGTGATATTCTCGTTGAGCAACCATCAACACAAGCAGGACCCTCTTCAAGGCAGGCAGACCCCCTACATCACACCACAATGAAGACATGTCTTTCGACTCATCTCAATCACCTACAAAAAATGCAAATGAACGTTTAGGCAGGGGATATCGACAGAGAAGGACCACTAGGTGTGGAACTGGGGGCCATTTTTGATCAAATGTATATGTAACACGTATTTTTGTTTAATATATTTTATTGTTGTATTTAATTAATACAACAAATTTTTATTTATTATTATGTTATATTTTTAATTTTTATTTAATTATTATATTAAAACAGCATAAAATATTTTAATCTTATAATGTAATTTTAATTAGTATTTATTTATCAAATTAATATAGTATAACATTTTTTATTATTATAATATATAATTAATTAATATTTTATTATTAAATTAGTATAATATATTTTATAATATAATTTTTATTATTAAAATTATTAAGATTTGATTAAATAAATAAAAAAAGAAAAAAAATCCCTTCACGTGCTCGCCATCTCATTGGGCGAGCACCTATGCAACATATTTTCCTTCATCTGCTCACCACTTCAGTGGACGAGCAGTGTCTGAATGTAGGGCATTTCTTTCAATTTTTTTCAACTTAGGGTATATTGGTATTATTGGTGTCAAAATGGGGCATTGGGGTAAAAAAACCACAGGAGACAAGTTAAATTTTGGAGGTAGGGATGTGGATATTTCATTAAAGGCAGTTGACGCTGTTGCAGGTTCATTAAATGAAATAAATCATGACCTAGACCAACAGGCAGAGGTCTCTGACATGCACAATGTAATTGAAAGGAGGATAATTCTATTCCAAAACAAAGATAGAGTCAGTCTGGGTTAGGAATTTGATCCATTGTTGGAAGTGGGCTTTGAGCGGGGAGTTTCATATCCAATCTCATGTTCTCCTAATGGGTTGGGCATAGTTTTATTTAGGCTCAAAACAAAAATAAGAAAAAAGAAACTTTTGAATGAGATTTATGACAGTATCAAAATTCCTTTTTCTCCTACATATTACTCTCATCTCATCCATGAATCAAAGAAAAATATTGCAACACATTTCTATGTTGCTTAATCAAATGTGAAGTATCTTAGCTCTATTGCGAGTGTGGAGGATTCGATATCGAGATATTCAAGTGGATCCATTTTATCTTGCGACTCCATCAGCAATTCAGACATGAATCATGGAAATTCAAGAATTAGGAATGCTTTGGAGGAAGTTCCAATCAAAGTGTGGTAATCTGTTAAATAGTTGGGAGTTGAAGGAGATGAAGACGATAAATTTTTCAAAGGTTTTAGTCAAAAACATGGGAGCTAGAGACATAAAGGAATTCGAGGAATCAAAGGAGGTTGCGATTAGAATTCTATGAATATAATTACATTCAATATACGTGGGAGTGGTAATTCTGTTAAACGGGACATACTTAAACTTTTATTATCTAAAGGGTTCATTGATATTTGTCTGCTCCAAGAGACGAAGAGTAAAAATACAAAGGGGAAACTTGTTCATAATCTATGGGGGAATGATGGGTGTGATTGATCTGCATCAAATGCTATTGGTCAATCTGGTGGGATTCTCACAATTTGGAGGAAAAGTTGTATTGAACCAATTTTCAGTTTCAAAGGAACATGTTATTTGGGTTTGTTTGTAGCTTGGATTAACATGTATTTTTATATTGTTAATGTCTATTCTCCATCGCATTGTTTGAGAAGAGGAAATTGTTAGCGGGACTGTTTGACGTGAAATCAAAATTCCCAGCTGGTGAGTGGATAT